TTTTCTTTGAAAAAAAGTATGAGTACTCAAAGTGCATGCTCAAATGTCCTTTTCTCGAGAAGCGGACCGATGCTTGCTTCGCTTTTTAGAAGCGAACAAAGAAGCAGAAGAAATCAAAAGGACTGATCAAGTGCATGGTGCATCAGCGTCGCGATTTCGAAAACATGCGCAAAAACGGCAGCAAAATGCGTGTTTCGCACCAAGGAAAAAGTCGGGAGGGCTCCGCGCAAGTTTGATTTGAAACCATGGTTGAGAAAGGCAGCTGTATTGCAGCTGCATGAAAAGGAAAAACGAACGATGAAACAATAAAAAAAATGTGGGAACAAAGAATGACGAAAATATTTGAACGCAAAGGGCACGCTGGTGCCAGCTGGTGATCTACTAACCGCATGGCATGTCAACGAATTTTCGTAACACTTGACTGGCCTAGCTAAGTGCGAAAGCAAGCGGTGAATCAAAGAAGGTGTGAGAGTAATCAGGAAAGTGCAGAAAGGAGAGGTGACAGAAGATAATAAATGAAAGGAAAAAAAGGAACGACTGGCCTCCAGACCAGGCCTCCCAGCATTTGCTGAGCCGCCTGGAGAAAATGAGTTGATCAAGTTCATTCTTCCGTTTAGGCTCAGCAGAGCCAATAAGAAAGATCAAACTAACCTGTCTCCCTCGGCGTCAGGACTCGCTGCTACCAGTAATATGAGCGAGGTAACCGGCTCGCTCGGACTGATACTTCTGATAGTTAAGCCAAGAATATAGTCAGATTTATTACTAGTGCTGACTTCGAGATCAGTCCTGTCGAGTATCATCAGCGGAGGCGTAGGGCCCAGAGGTGACGGTCCGAAGAGACGAGGTAGGAGACGGAGGCGTAGGCCGGAGTCCAGTCGTCGCTGCGGAGATATCTCTCTAGGTCGTCGATCGGAAGCCTTAAGTACGAAGCATCAGGGGCCGGGTGCAGCAAGCCCCAACTAGGGGAGGGATCCCCAACCTTGGGGATATCCCCAACCTTGGGGATATCCCCCAAGGTTGGGGATACATCCCCAAGGTTGGGGATATATCCCCAAGGTTGGGGATATATCCCCAAGGTTGGGGATCCATCCCCTCGTTGGGGAGGGGAGGGATCCCCAACCTTGGGGATGATCCCCAACCTTGGGGATATATCCCCCAACCTTGGGGATATCCCCAACCTTGGGGATATATCCCCAACCTTGGGGATATATCCCCTACTTCGTCGCAAGACCCATCGTTTTTCGGTGGCTCCTGTGACGCAACCGTGCGGGACGGTCACTGCCGTCGACCCTCTGCGTCTCTGCAGGCAGGGGATACATCCCCCTAGTCGAGACTAGGGGGATTCGTCCCCTCACTTGGCGACGCGGAGAATTGAAGGCAGTTTCGGGTTTCTTCACCCTCTATTTCGCTTCGTTATTCGCATTTCTTTTTTCGCCATTACCTTGCCTTTGTTCATTCGCTGTTTTCTAAGCACTGTTCACAGTTTTAAAATTATCGAATATTCAAATTTGCGAAAAGAATCAGATACATATCAACATTAACCCTTTCGGCCCTGGCGGTGGCAATTGCCACCACCAAATTCAAACGCTTGCATTTCCGCTGAAACAGCATAGTTTTTCTAATCTGCTAGAGTTTGCTTCAGTCAACCTTCCCCTTCCTAATTATGAGCTTAACCGGCCATTTCATTGTTTATTGCTGTTAGTATTACAAGTATTTGTGTACAAGTGCAACAGTGAATGGGCGCTGACCCCCGCAACCGGCCAAGTAAGTGTGACTTTTTCTCTAAAATACTTGAAGTAGATCCATTCCTAAATCAAAATTATGGGTTATAATGTTATGCAAGATTATAAACTTTTTCGGCATAACTATGAAATTTCGAATTGTTTCGACATAAGCTTAAAAACTAAGAAGGTGGGCCAATTTTCAAAGCTTCTTAGTTTCTTTGTTTGTGATCGAATAGCTTCCAAATTTCGCCATAATGATACCTATATGCTCACAAGTAATAAACAATAGCTAGAAGAAAAATTTCTCCACGGGGAAAAATTCAGGTCCGAAAGGGTTAAGAATCTGCGCACGCGCGAAAGCAGATGCGAAAAGGATTAAATGCGTGTCGACATTGTAGAGCACGCTGTATTAGCGTTGCTGGAGGATTTTTGCACCGCCGTTTCGCGCTGTCGATCTCCGATTGACTCGGTCGATAGACACCCATTTCTTTTAAAAGGATTCGCAGATTTTGCGCGATTCGATGCTCCTCCCATTTTGTAGATCGATACGCATTTCATTCATTTCGCATTTGCGCAGATTCGTTCGTTTTGAGCGTCATTCGGCTGTGGCGCAATGTGTGAACAGTGCCTAGGAAAGGCTCAATGTGCCTCTGCGAGAGGAGGGCGTGGCGCGGGATCCACCGCTCCCTTTGTTCCCACATTTTTTTTATTGTTTCATCGTTCGTTTTTCCTTTTCATGCAGCTGCAATACAGCTGCCTTTCTCAACCATGGTTTCAAATCAAACTTGCGCGGAGCCCTCCCGACTTTTTCCTTGGTGCGAAACACGCATTTCGCTGCCGTTTTTGCGCATGTTTTCGAAATCGCGACGCTGATGCACCATGCACTTGATCAGTCCTTTTGATTTCTTCTGCTTCTTTGTTCGCTTCTAAAAAGCGAAGCAAGCATCGGTCCGCTTCTCGAGAAAAGGACATTTGAGCATGCACTTTGAGTACTCATACTTTTTTTCAAAGAAAATTCAAATTCTCGCGAGCCTAAGTTCAAAATTTGCCCCGGGGCCTGATGGCCTTTAACAAGAATATGTTTGTCGTTACGTGATGGAGCACTACGGAGCATTGGCCATTTGAAGGCAGCTGAGTTTTACCTAGTGAGGAGCGTTTAAAAGAAGATTTGCTGCCAGTAATAACAGGAGGGTACCCCCATTCAGAAGTGAGAAGTAAAAAGGTCCTGATGTTTTTTTATGCTAATGATTGCTCCAAGTTAGAAATTACTCATCCAGGACACCTTATTTTCATCTGTGTGCACACTTGATTTCACAGGTCGATGAACAAGTATTTACATGTTAATCATCACGTCATTATCTCAAGCTCCTCCGTATCATTTTCTAATTCTTCCTATTCCCTTTGTGGTCGACGCCTTATTATATGCCGTGTCCTTCGCCTTAAGTGCGGTAAGTCCCAGTTATGGTCGCTTTATGACCTTACTCATATTTTCATGACGTTATTGTTCTTCCTTCGCTATTGTTGGCGCCTCATGCCGAATATTGATCGCTACCGGCGTATTGTAACACCTGGCCGAGCCCGCGGCACCTACGCCGCACTCGCCGCTGGACGACGGCGCCGACACCCGTCTCCTGGGTCAGCTGACCCAGGTGGTGGGAGGTCGACAGAAAGGAAGCAGTTATGTTCGGTGTTGGTCTTGGGCTCGCTCTTACCTCAGGTGGTTACGACCGTTCGAGTTACGTGCTACAGTACGCCGGCCGCGTTCTCAAAGCCCGCATTCCACCCTTATCCACGCACCCTTATCTGATAAACATTCCCCTCTTTCTTCTAAACATCCCGCTTATCAGCCCGTCGTCGGCATCCAAGCTCATGGGAACTAAGGGGGGGATCACACGGAAGGCCAGGGAAAGCTTGCATATCCTCGATTGTTGACTCAATAGATCTTCACGTCTTCACGTTCACATCTCATACTTTGACCCCAACCTCAGGGTACTGTACGCCCCGCCCATCCCTCTTCCCTCCTATAAAGGGTCTTGCACTTAAGGGGTTGCTCATCACTCGACAGTCGTCGTTCTTTCGTTCGTACTATTCTCCCTGCTACTAATCATGCCAACCACGCGAAGCCAAAGCCTATCTGCTGCGGCGACCGGGTCGGCATCGGGATCGGCGTCTCCGCCATCCCTACCTGGGGCTGCTGCCCCTTATCAAGAGAATGTTTTGTCGGAGGTCGGAGCTAATGCTCCTCATCGTGAGCTTGATCCTTCTCGTAGCGGCGCTACGACGCCGACTGCCTTCCTCGATGCATCACTCTCTAGGTTGGACGACGCAGAAGTTCTCCATGCAAAGGACGCGAAGCTTCTCCGGGACGCCACTTCGGCTGCCATCACCCGGGTCTGGAAAGACGCTAGGTCACAGACCACAGCTTTGGTCCAGAAAATCAATGAGGGCAATTCGTCGTTGTCTCGTAAGTTGAACGAGTCCTTCTCTGCGGTTGGTAGTCGCCTCGACTTCCTTACCTTCGGTAGCCATGTTGGGACTAGAGTCTCAGACTCCCAAGGTGGTCCCCTTCTCAGGTTCCACCGAGGAGGGCATGCAGTTTTCGGTCTGGCTCCGTCGACTTGATGATATCATCCGCATGCGCCCGTCCCCCCTCTCTAGTGAACAAAAGGCTAATTTCCTCATAGGTCACTGGACGGGGTCGCACGCGGAGAAGGTCGAGGAGCTAAGCGAGGATGCGCGCAAGGACTTCGACTTGGTCGCTAGCCATCTTAGGAGCTTCTTTGAAAGTCCTCAGCAAAGGTATGTGGCCCGTCAGAAGCTTTCCACCTGTAGGCAGGAACCGGCTGAACCATCTTCGGCATTCGCAAACAGGGTCCTGAACTTGGTAAGAGCGGCAACTGCAGGTCAGGATCCCGTGACTCAGAAGGAACGAGTGTTGGAAGAGTTCGTGTCGCGCCTCCGCGGGGACATCAGGTACTTCGTTAAGTTAGACAATCCCTCTACCTTAGAGCAGGCCGTCACCAAGGCGCAGATGGTGGAGCAGCTTTTGTCCGAAGCCACGGCGGATCGCCTCATCCATCCTGGTCGCCCAGAGCCAGTGGTAAATGCTCTTCGACAGTAGGGTAGGTGGCCGGGACAGGCCGTTCAATAGATCAAACCCTCAAGGTAATGTTCGAAATTACAATCGCCTTGGCAACAATCAACGTCGTCCGTTTCAGGCTCGCAACCAGCCACCAGCACCACCGACGACTCCCACTCGCCCTGCAGGACCTGGACTCTGCTACAACTGTGGGAACCGGAATCACCTGGCGTATCAGTGCCGTGCACCTATCAACCTCCGGAAGAAAGACAGGTCAGCGGCTTACCGTCGTTATTATCGTGGTGATGGGAATGCGCACCTTATGGCCTGCGGGTCTCCTTCTTCTTCTTTTGCCTCCTCTGGGGACTCTGCGCTAGCCGCAGCTCAGCGGCAAATTGCTGATCTTACGCTCACCGTAGACAAAACCAGGGCCGAGCTCGATCAATCAAACTCTAGGATAGTGGCTCTACTTAAACGTAATGAGGAGCTCGCCCAGTCTGCTTTCGAACGTAACGATCCTTCTCCTTCTTCTTCTGCTTCTAGATCGGCGTTACCTGACGTTCGAACTCTCTTCTTCACGTGCTTGGTTCTGCCTTGCATAGTGGGTGCGTCTGCTTCCCCAGGACGCGTGGCTCTGTCCATCTGAGAACCCCACAAATATCTTTTTCGTACCTTCATCTTATAATTGTTCCTGGCTACTCCCAAATGCCACCAAGCACCTACATTCCTTGTCTGTCCACGTGTATAGGCCTAACACCAAGCGCTATTCAACCCCGGCATTTCTTTGCAAGATCGTGCGTCACTCGGTCCTGTATTCGGTCAGTTTCTTCGGGGCGCGCACGGAAGATCATCAAGAGACCCTTCTCCCCGTGTCAGCAGAGCAATGCAAGCGTATGTCCCGCTACAAAAAGTGCGACCATGGCGACCTTTCACAGCAAGGTAGCATTTGGCGAACCTCGAACGAGCTTGCTTTCGCTTTTCCGTCGGCTCCGTTCGGCTGCTGCTCCGATCACAGAGCAGAAGCTTACAATTGCTACCTGTTGGAAACGGTGGTCCACGCTCGTTACGGTGACGAGTCTCCTGAATCGGCAGCTGGAGACATGAGATCCTGCCTGTACAAGGACGGCAATTGCGTCCTGTCGGACGGATCTGTGGTCATCTGGTCACCGGATCAGGAGGAAGGTTGCCGATTCACCTCTGTGGCGAAAATGAAGGGCTACCTCATGGGCAATGTTTGGATAAGCGAGTCTAAAGAGTTCGCCCTATCCTGGTCTAGTCAGAGCCCCGTGGTACAGGATTGCCTTAGGGAGTTGACCATCACCGATCAGGGTTACGCCGTCGTGGTCCTGCGCCGCGTGCCTCGTTCTTTGGACGCTGGGCTGGTCACTACCAATCAATTGTCCGCTCAGCTGTTAGCAGTTGAAGGTTCGGTGCAAGACGCGGTCGCCGCTTTATTCCTTCACGCGTGCAAGCCCTTTGTGAACGCACCAACGTTCTCGCCATAGCCTTGCACTTCGGCTCTACGGACGAATCCCACCCTCACCATGAGGACCCTTATCGGTCGCAGTGACCTTTCCGCTACTCACCTTGGTAATGGGTTTGTGCAGGTTCGGCGTTGTCTCGGGGTCCCCCCTTCTGCCATTAGGCTGCAACCATTCAATAATACCTGCTTCGCGTATCCGCGCGTTACAATTCAGCTGCGCAGCGGTTCCTTGTGGCATGCTTTTCTTAACCCCTTTCACGGGAGTAGTGGTCAGTAGGGCACCGCGAGTCGACTGCGTCGACGTAACACCTTTTGTGCTGTCAGCCAACTCCACCCTGCTGCAGTTCTCTCCTTTGGACGGCCAGGCTGTCTCCTTTACCGTTGCATCAAATTCGGTCGGTCGCTTCTCCCTTTTCTCTGGACGCCATGTCATTGTCCCCCAAGCTCACCATATTCCACAACCTCATCCTCACAACTTCAGTGAGCTTGTGGCGGACTCACAATTCCAAGAAATGTGGACGCTCAGAGACCAGGAAAAGCTTATTGACCATATCGCGCAGGTACATCACAGCGCCAGCCCTGTTCAGACAGCTGACCCAGCAAAGGGAAACTCTCCTTCTCTCATTTTTGCCTTTCTCTCTTCCTTCTCCCTTCGATATTTGGGTCTTCGTTTGCTGTTTGGTCGTCTCGGCTAGGATAACCAAGTTTATCCTAGTCACTTATATCGGCCTTAATTACCCGGGGCTGTTGCCCCTTCTCAAGAGAATGAACTCGCAGACGCCGGCTACGGCCTCTATGCCTTTGCTGGCACCAACTCCTATTGTTACTGCGCCGGAACACCAGGCTGTTCCTTTGCAACCGTTGCGCTCCGCGAATCTAGGTATTTCAAAAATTGACATCGACGTCCAAAATGTATGGCCTCCCCGAGCCTCTACCGTCCCAGTACAAGTGTTATCTTTCGGGCCGGGTCATAAGTTCTTTGTCACGCAGATACCTGTCCGCGTCAATGGGCTCCGCCTTCTTGCCTTGATTGACACGGGCGCCGGTATTACAGTAGCCAGCAAGTCCCTTCTTTCCCTTCTAGGTATCTTTCGAGTTGGACGAATGCGTAGTCCCGTCCGCTATCGGCATGGCGGGCATACCGGTCAATTTCGTAGGTAGCGCAACAGTGAACCTTACGATCGGTAAGGAACGCCTTAGGCAGAAGGTCCACTTCACGGAAGGCCAATGCGTTCCAGTCCATGCCGACTCATATGACCTTATTTTGGGCAACGACGTTCTCCGTCGTCTACCGCCATGGTCTGTGGATTATGACAACCGGGTGTTCCATATGGGCTCAGAGCAAGTTGAGATCCTTACCGGAGCCGTATATCGCCCTCATAGAGAGCGACGAGGTGAAACAGCCGTTCGGGTTTCGGAAACTACCGTGCTCAAGCCGAAATTGCGAGACCCTGGTCCCATGTTATGTGACCAACATCCCCCCTAACACGACCATGTGGACGACTTCGGCAGAATTGATTGATGATACACAACTTTATGTGGCTCCAGCTGTTTTCCATTCCTCTCATGCCCGCGTGCTAGTCACCAACCCAACGAGCACCCCTCGTATTGTTTACAGGAATGAGCGTATTGCCGCTGGCGCGGTCGTCATAGAAGCAGATGACGGTTCCCTTATGGAACCCCCTGCTAATTTTTAGCGTCGGCATTTTCAACGCCAATGACGCCTCTGGAGCTGCTTGCTCCTCCACTAAAGAATTACCGTTCCACGTAGACTTGTCCCGCGCTGAGGTAAACGATGAGCAGAAACGCCAGCTTCAAGAACTCTTTGAGGAATACCAGGACCGTATTTCTATGTCTTCTTACGATCTTGGTTCTTATGAATTGAACCCCATTTCAATCAAAACCACAACCGAAATTCCCCCCACTCGTTATAGACCTACAAGAATTCCAACTCGTTTTCAGAAAGAGCTAGACGATCATATAAACAAACTGTTGCAGGCTGGTCGCATCGTCGAAAGTGACACCCCGTGGGTCCATAATACCGTGCTGGTCAAGAAGAAGGACGGATCACTTCGAGTCTGTTTGGACTTCCGCCCACTCAACGACGTCACAATTCCCGATCACTATCCCCTTCCACGGATTGAAGATCTACTCGAAAAGGTGGCAGGTAACCAATTCTACACTACACTGGATTTAGCTTCCGGGTATATGCAGCTTCTTTTGGATCCCGAAAGCCAAGCCAAGTGCGGTTGGGCTACCCACCGAGGGATTTACCAATTCGTTTACCTACCCTTCGGGCTGCGCAACGCCGGTGCTTATTTTTCTCGCGCCATGGCACGTATTTTGGGAGGTTTGGAAGGGAACTGCCTCGCCTATCTGGATGACATCATCATTTTTGACAAGGACTTCCCGTCCCACCTTGACTCCCTGCGTAAGGTTTTCGAGCGTTTTCGGCTGTACAACATCAAAGCTTCCGGCAAGAAACTCACGGACATTGCGCAATCCAAAATTACGTTCCTAGGGTCACGAAATCTCTCGGACGGCTTACCGTCCCGCCGAGCGTAATATTCGAGCAATTCGCGACTTACCTCGCCCAAAAACCGTCAAGGAAGTCAAAGGATTTATCGGCATGGCGAATTTCTTCCGCAAGTTCATAAAAGGTTTCGCCGCCATGGCTTCCCCCTATATGACTTGTGCAAAGGTAAAGGCTAAATTTGAGTGGACTCCTGAGCAGGAGACGGCATTCCTCTCCATCAAGGAGGCCCTCGTATCCCGGCCATGTTTGGCCTTTCCACGAGACTATGAGTTCATCCTGCATACGGATGGAAGTAAGGTCGCAGTTGGCGCGGCCCTTCTGCAGCAGCAGGAGGATTCCTCCAAACTCGCAGCCGTTGGCTACTTTCAGCAAGACTCTATCTGAGTCTCAGCGGAAATGGAGTCCCACACATATTGAGCTTTTCGCGATGATCAGCGCTCTTCGTTTTTTTCCGTACGACCATTTATGGCAACCTTACGCGTATCTATTGCGATCACAAGCCCCTCACCTTTTGCTGCGCCATAACAAGACGCATGATAACCTTGCCAGGTGGGCCGTAGAACTTCAGAGCTACAACATCAAGATCGAGTACCTAAAGGGAGCATCTAACGTGGTAGCCGACTTTCTTAGCCGAACCGAATCGGAGGAAACACCGGTTTCAGGACGGAACCCCCGAATCGGAAGACATTGTCGAATTCCCGGTTTGTTTGGCTCAAACGCCCACCCTTCCGCCCCTTCGCATTCGCCCTTATGATGTTTTGGTTGAGCAGAAACAAGATCCCTTCTTGCAGTACTTTATTGCACTTTTTAGAAACTGGTTCCTTCTCCACAACGACATCAGAGGACGATAAGACGAAGGCTCTCCAACTGGCTGATTCGTGTATTATTCGTAAGAATGGCTGCCTTTATAAAGTGTGTCAACGAGGAGGTCACAAGTACGAAGCTCTTTTTCTTCCTTCTAAGCTTCGCGAGCCTGTTTGTATAGCTTTTCACGATAGTCCAGCCGCAGGCGGACACTTTAATTGGAAAAAGACCTTAGGCAAAATTGCTCGCAAGTTCTTTTGGCCTTCTATCAAGGAAGATGTTTACCAGTTTGTTCGGTCTTGTGATGACTGTCAAAGGAAGCGGAGCCACCCGGCCAACCGCGAACAGTTGTTGCCTATTCATGCCAATGCCGTTTTCCACAAAGTGTACCTCGATCTCAGTGGTCCCTACCACACTTCTTCTTCTTCTAACAAGTATATTATGTGCCTCATCGATCATTTTTCTAAATATGTCATTGCTTCTCCTCTTCCTGATTGCACTGCTCCTACCGTAGCTCGGTCCCTCATGAACGATTGCATACTCAAATTTGGTGCGATGACCGAGCTGGTATCGGATAATGCGTCCTATCTCAAGGGGGACCTCCTGACCGAGTTTGGCAAAACCCTATCTTCGCATTAAACCGCTACTTTTGCACCTCCATACGTGCAGGACATTCAGGATCTGGGTTGGGTTAAGCAGCTGGGACACGAAATGCCGGCAGGATTGTAATATGGTAAGATCTAGAGGAGAGATCTAGGGATGGTCTGCGAATGCGCGTTTTTCGCTACCTTTCAGCTATGCTCCGTACCTACATTAGCAGCAACCAGCTCGACTGGGACACCTTTTTGCCAGCGTGTGCCTTTTCGTACAACACCAGCATCCATTCCAGCACGAACGAAACGCCGTTCTTCCTTTTGTTTGGCCGCGACCCAGTCTTTAACATTGACCTCATGTTTCGCCATCAAGCTTTTCAGCACATTCCCCTACCGACGCTGATTCTAGCATTTATAAGGAATCCCTCGTATCCGCGTTGCATTCGCTTGGACCTCCGCTGCAGCCTTCAACGCCAAGCAAAGTTTGCTTTTTCAAGAAGCAATACGACAAAACGGGGTTACAGCCACTTAATTATCCGGGTCGGGGACCTTGCGTCCTTACCCTCAGGGACTTGCGCCAAACATTGCGCTATTCTTCGGTGCAATCAAAACTGCCTCACTGCTACCCAGTCTGGCTTTGGCCTCACAGCTTCCGGCCTTCATTTCCGTGACGCTGACCCTCCACCCTCCCGTTATCGAACCCAATAGTGACCCTCTACCCGCGTAAGGCACGCCGCACCCAGAACCATAATAATGTCCGCACAAATTGGAACGAGGTCAAAAAGTGTTTTGCCATACTTCGAGGGCCCCGTGTATCATTTCTGTCTCCGATGGTACATTCCGTCTCGAGGAAGACGCTGCGACTGTATACTCCGTGACACGGAAGCCGTCTACAACCTCATCGTTTTGCCTAGTTATCGGCACACGGAGGCTCCCCCCCTCCCGTCCGCGGTATCCTCCCAACCCCCCACTAACCGGTCAAACTTACACACGCAAGCCTAGATACCGTCAGCTTTTCGCACGCGAACCACTTCCATCTAGCCTCTCTCGTTCGTCCTTCCTGCTGCCTCTCCATATTTCTCATCGCATTTCACCTGCTTATATAGCCCGCTTCTTTGTTCATTTTCGTATTTGATTCAATATCTTCCGCCCCCAGCCGTTCATACCTTTACCTTCGGTATTTCTTTAGTCCGTGTAAATTCGAATATCAATCTAGCGTGATCGCTATTCACTAACGTGAACATATCGCTTATCATTTGAGCCATAGCGCCGCCCATTTTTCACAAGCTACTCTTTCAGATAATTGGATTGATTAGTATTATGGACTCCTTTGTTGCTATTGATCAGCCTTCCGCGTTAGTGCCTCCTGACCCTGCCCAGGGAAATGACCACGATATGGTTTTGAACCAGTCAGGTACTGGGGCAATTATTCATTCTATATTGTCGCCGATGCCCTTAGTTTCCCACAACGTATTCTTTCAGAATCCCCTCCGGCAGCCGAGGAGGCAGCACTGTCCTCTCTCATGTCGGACATGACCGCTTCTGTCGACGATGAGGAGCCTATGGACTCTGACGTAGTTCTCCCAGCCGAAACTATGGCTGATCTTTTGATCTCCGCAGACCCCGTTCAACCTTCGGTCTTGCCGATGTCAACTGATGTAGCGTCTCATTCACAGTTCGTTGAGCCGAAGTCTGAGCTCTCGCTCGACTCGACTCTTCAGCTGTCTGATGCTTCCGGAGCTGTTGCTCCTTCACGTGAATCTATCGGAGCTGTTGCTCCTCAACATGAGCTTCCTGGAGCTAGCGCTCCCCCTCCTGACGATGATCAGCCGTCGACTTCCAAGTTCAAGTCAGGAGGCTTTGAGAGCTTTTCTTACGCTAGCGTTGTAGCTCGCCAGCGTGCGGCAGCCGCCGCGGAGTCAGCGGCAGCGGGACCATCTCGCCCGTTGCCAGCCGCTCCTGAGCGCCGTGTCCGCAGAAGGCCGACCGGTTTCCTGACCATCGCTCCTCGTGGCCAATTGCCCGACTTCACTCCGGAGGACCATTCTCACCATCTTATCGGAAGTCACCCATGGGCACAATTCGTTTCTCTTCGAACCGAGCCGTTCCCTCGAATCCGGACTTCGTTACGGCCGCTATGCCGCTCGAGCTGTATGGTCACATCCCTCCAAGCGGGTACCTCTCCCCTAAGTACATGAGGAGGCTCTTTCCGCTGAAGTTCCAGGAGCAGCCAAGCCGTCGCCAACGGTTGTCCATTATCGAGTTGATGCGTCTCGAACATGCGATCGCGTTCCGTCGCTCTTCGCAGGCCGTTATCGATGACCTTCTCGGCGGTCGGTATGTCATTACCGAGAATTCGTTGCCCGTTACCCCCGAGGGAACCATGCCATCCGTCGTCTATCCGGAGACTCGAGACCTTTTCCCTGTCTTGTATCAGGTTGTCAATAAAGGGGTCGGTCAAGGTGTCGTTCTCGAGGCGAAGGATTTCTTCATTCCTGGACCGGACAGGCGCGAACTCCACTTGCTTACCTTGGATCAGTTCGCCACTAATGTTTCGAGCAACACTCGTGGCTTTGATCGATCGCTGGTGTCCGTGAAAGACTTGGTTTGGGTATATTCGGTCGAGCCCACCAGGGCGGCTCTTCGTGACCCTTCTCGCGCACTCGAGCAGGCTCGCATACCCAAGGCTACTGCTCTCGACCAGCGGTACCCGTATTTTTTCCGTGTACGGGAATTTGTCTTCGTCACTCCACCGACGACGACTCAACGAACTTTCGGCATCGTCATGTCTCTGGTCATTCGTTACGAAGCTGTGAAGGGGTTGCGGATTGCATTCGAAGGCGCACCGGAGGCCGTCCCCGTCTCTCCTAACGGTGTGCGACTTCCCCCTCGGGCAAGTCGAGCAGGACGAAATTGTCGCGGCCCACACCCGCTTCAACGTGTCTTGTGCGATACGCTTCTCTGAGTCGCCGGTTTCTCGTGATGCTCAACGGATGCTCTGCTCGTTTGTTCGCGACTTCCTTCCAGCTCATCCAGAGGAAGGCATGCTCCCGCTCCGCGTCTTTAAGCTCACCAAGAAGGAGAAAATCTGGATAGCAGACCGAGCCGGCAGTTTCTCCAGCTACGATGGCAACCCGCGAGCTTCCCAACGTCGCATGGCGCACCTGTTTAATGCAGCCTGTTCAGCCCTCGCTGCTGTCAACTGCCTGAATGACGACAAACGGACGCACATGCTCACGGCGATCGTCCCCAGCATGTCCGCGTTTCCCCTGCGGTTTGACTTCACCATCGGGGATATGTCGTCCGAGTGCGGATGGACGACTCAACGTCCAGTTTATCTGTGGGTTGTCGGCTCTCGCTCGCTCATTCGGGCACTCATCGAGCAAGCGGAGCACTCTTATGAGGATCGTTCCATCGCGGTTCCGCCTCGTCGTTCCAGCTTGGGCGCATCGTTCTGCTGTTAAGACCGTCTCGCATTTTGCCACTACTCGCGACGACATCACCAGAGTAGACGTTTGCGTCAAGCTCGGCGATCTTCCTGCGGGAACGGACCCCCTCTACGAGCTCATCTCGAAGCGTCAGCTCTTTGGTCGTTTCGACAACGATTCACGAGCCGCGGTTATCCTGGACGCCGTTTACGGCTCCCGCCGCGTGCGCGTCGGGCCTGTTGGCCCTCATCTCGAGAATGTTTCTGCCTCAGTAGGCGGTCGGACCTTTCAGCTACGTCCAGACCAGGTCAAGGCCCTGCGTATGGGTGAGCAAATGCTGCCGATCCTCGCCATACAAGCCGCCTATGGCACTGGGAAAACCGTGGTCGGGGCGCTCATTGCTGCGCGCACGTACGCGTCCCTCCAGCAAGGTGTAATTGCCACCACCACGACCAATAACGCCGTGGCCCAGTTCACTGACACCTTGTTAAGGCTAGATGACTACAAACATCTGTCCATCTTGCGGTACGTGTCGGACACAGCTTTGATCGATGGCGCTCCTCAAACGCCGATCGACCTCCATACCGTCCTTAAGCGCCTCCCGGAGGAATATGCACCCATCCTCTCGGACAAAGCCCTGGCAACCTGCACTAGGTATAAGCGAGGTAGGGAGCTCCTCGAGCGCCTAATGTTCGACCGTGATCTCGCCATCGACATGCCAGATGCAGAACGTGATGAGTATCGGTTGGCGGAACGTGACATCTCGCAGCTGACGCATGACACGATCGACATCATGTTCCGCGTTCGTCCACCAGCGGTCCTCTGCATCACGACGTCGGCGCTCCTCAACTCGGTTGCGGCGGGCGGTATCTTTCATGGCAAGCTGGACAAGTTTACCACGATTATTGGCGACGAGGCATCTCAAATTCCGAACCAGCCTTGGTAGCCCTTGCCACCCATCTGCCACAGGCTCGTCACATCTACATCGGCGACGTTCACCAGTTGGAACCCCATGCCAGGTGCCCCAGTCCTCCAACCCTGCCCGTTTTGGTGCGCAAGGCATCATGGATATTCTGGTCGCTAAGGGCGTTCCGGTGGCCCCCCTCACTACCACGTTCCGGGCTCACCCACTACTGAATGACCTGCCCAACCGGCTCTTCTACGACCATGCCCTCATTAGTGGTACCCGGGCCGAAGACCGCCAGATGTTCCTCTCAGCCGTGCGCTGTCCGAACCCGAAGCTCCCGTTCCTCTTTGTCGATGTACCGGGAACCTCAGCGAAGGCTCTCAGTGGTTCGCACAGCAACGCAGCTGAAGCCGAGGTGTGTCGTCAGATCGTGCTGGCTTTAACAAGGAAGGACATTCCTCCATCATCTATCGCCATCGTCGCGTTCTACAAGGAGCAGATCCGTGTCCTCACGCAGTTCGCCAAGAACGCCAATGTCGACTTGCACACCGTAGATTCCGTGCAAGGACGTGAGAAGGACATCATCATCCTCCTCACCACGCGGACTGGTTTCGATGCTGAGCGAGGAGAATTCCTCAACGAACCTCATCGGCTCAACGTCGCCCTCACCAGGTGTAAGCACGGCCAATTTGTTCTAGGTCACGAGCAGTCTTTGATGGGCCTCTCTTACTGGAATGACATCCTCCTATGGGCCCGCAATCGTTCTGCCATCGTGTCTGCCGCTGCGTTGCCGGATCTCATCGACTGACGGACCTCCTTTTTTCTCTCCTTTGAACCCAAGGTGAGCATTGCTCTTTCGTTTGTTTCCTCATCTTTAAGTCCGAGGACGGACTTTTTTGTAATGGGGGGAGGTGTAAGAGATTGAAAGAACGAGAGAGAGTTATAAAACAGTATAAAATACACTAATTATCCAATAAACTACTAATTAAGGTTGTAATAGGTAAACTAGTAAACTCTCCTAGCCATTTATTCCTTTGTCCCCCTTTTCAGGCGGTTTCCCTTACAAGTAGCCGTCTGGCACGAGAGAGTATGTCGGGATGAGAGGCAGATAGTGCGAGAGCATACTGTAGTGACTCATCTGATGCTTCGTACTTAAGGCTTCCGATCGACGACCTAGAGAGAGATCTCCGCTGCAACGACTGGACTCCGGCCTACGCCTCCGTCTCCTACCTCGTCTCTTCGGACCGTCACCTCTGGGCCCTACGCCTCCGCTGAAGATACTCGACTGGACTGATCTCGAAGTCAGCATTAGTAATAAATCTGACTATATTCTTGGCTTAACTATCAGAAGTATCAGTCCGAGCGAGCCGGTTACCTCGCTCATATTACTAAGATCTTCCAAAGGGACCGCTTGCAGTTTTTTCGCGACCACTTAGGAAAACACGAAAGAAAAAAACTGGATTGAAATGAGTGCATTCTACCTACTCACATAGGATACATGAACATGGCCTGTGGACATACTCTCGGACATTCACATCAAACATGCACGAAAAACAGGAACAGTGAGACAAGATTGCGATAACAGGGTAAAGTGAACAAGTTATTCTATTTAGGAGCTTAGTGGAAGTTAAAAGTGGTATTCGTTCTCTAGTCTACTGAGTTACTCGTTCTTAAAAGAAGCGGCTTTAGTTCCCTCTTGAAACTCACACCAGGGTTGTGTCGATGCAAGCCCACAACAACCAGTGTGAATCTCGAGAGGAGGACTGGTATGAACTCGCTTACCTGCGGTATTATCCTTTCCCATGGGCAAGACAGCACAGATTCGCTGTAAGTAATAGCAGAATAGCAACGGCACAAAATAGGACACGTACCGGTACAGAATGGAACAGAAGCTACTAGGAATAACACAGCAGAATAAAGTAATGTGTCTCAAAGGCCGATTGGAGATGGCCAGGCCGTCGCAACGTCAGTGCGCGCACATAGTCCATTCAAATTTCCGCGCGCGGGAAGATATTTCAAACTGAAGTACCTTGCGGGGAATAGCTGGGATCCGCAGCCGACAACCGCTTCACACCTTTCAAAGAATGCACAACTTAAGATTCTGAGCTTGGTTGAGAAGTTCCTGTCTAGTACGTGCAGTGCTGATGAGCCTCGTCCCGGCTGCAGTTTATTCTTGTTGCCACAGTCATCTAGCAGACAAAAATGCAATTAAAAAGTGAACTTCGAACTCGACGTCAATGACTTTTTAGCACGATACCGCCGAACTTTAGCGGTCACAGGTTCCACTTCTTGGTAAACTGTCGACAGCAGGTCATCACAGTCAACGAGTTTTTCATACTACACTATCCAAAGCGCTTATTCCATGTGTGCTTACTAACGCTGAGCAATAAATTTGCGTTTTTCCGCTGAGTTTACTTCCACTACTTTTGATTTTCCTTTTAGAAGCACGTCAAAAGTGAAGTCTGCAATAACATCACATGTAAATGCATTTTACGGTGATAGTGTTCAAGTGGTAATCTCTTTGTGCCAGTTTGCGGGCCTTCTTCACCAGTGTATTATCGGTTTTCAAACCCTATTAAAAAATAAAGGATAAAGCATTTGCCGTTGATCAATCCCTTTTTGGGATGCGGCACGCATTCTACTTCCATTTGTACATTCGCAGTGGCATTTGAATGCGATGTGGCCTATACAATGACTTGGGGATGCGATGTGGCCTATACAGATGAATGGGCCAGCCGATGTTCAAGTCAGTGTTTTTTATCCTCCCAGACAAGTCTGGTACCAATTAACCGACCCCGGAGGGATGGAAGGCTTGGTTGGCCCGGGCGACTCACGACCCAGGATTTGATCCCGGACCGCTCGCGTGGTGAGCGCGCCACTTGTCACTGCACCACTTCCGCCCGCAAGGTTGGTTTCACCCTATATCTGCTCAATTCTCTGAGAAGTCATGGTGTTCTACCTCTGCAGCTTCGTAGTACGAATCTAAAGGCGATCACTCCGTGTTGCTTGGTTTGGAAGATCATTTCAAGCCTTTTTTATTCCCTCTTACATTCATTACTAAATTGTATTTATCAAATTAGTAGGTTGTGATTTGTGCAGGGAAAAAAGAACGATTCCCTTCCTCAGTTCTGTGATCTCCTGTGAGCTATCTGCTCACGGCATCTGGCAGTATGTTTCATGTTGTCTTTATTGACATGCACCCTTTTTATTTTGTTGCATCTTATTTGGTGCTTGTTTGATAAGATATACACAAACGCAGTAATAAAAATCTTACTATATCGATGTGGAATTTTTAACGTTCTTTCACGTGGGTCTTTAAAAGACTTCGTTTTCTATATCGAACCATATTGAACATTCTCCACACTGACAAACAAGAGAATCGCAGAAACTGCAAGCGGTGAACGTGTGAACGGTGTTATTAGTCTTTACAGGGTCAAGCGTGCGTTGAGGAATCCTCGACATGTCACAGAGGGGGGGGGTCGTATTGGCCCGCTGGGGAGAGATCGGGCCCGATTGATACAGTAGGATCATCGTCGGAGGACAAACATTAAGGATCGAATCGATACCAGGCCAGAGTATTTCCAATAACAATTGATTCCGTCCACACAAAATCTTCGTGATTTAGAGGTGTCCGCTTAGCAATTCTTAGTGACTTTAGTGTTTCATCACCACACAAGTCAAAGGATCCGAAATTCGCACGTTTTCTAGGGATATTTTATCTTTCAAGTAGGTCCTCAAATCCAACGAGATGTGAAGCACACGGCGCATCCCAGAGTGGGCCCAGTTGGTTGCGCGCGCTTCAGCTACGGCTATCTTGATAACGAATCTTAATTCAGGAAGAATCAAGAGGGTTCTGAAAGAGTTCATGTTAAATTACAGAGAGGAGTACACTATTCAACAAGAAACGCAGCCTTCAGCGTCAAATTCACAAGCATGTAACCTTTAAAGTTGAGACCCGCTAAACAATTTTACACTTTTTGCAGAGAGAAAAGCACGAGGATTTTGAATCTGCTCCTACTTCAGTATGTAATCGCTCCTGCAAGGAGCTATAGTCGTTGGGATAGTGCTAATGTAGCGAAAAAGTACCTTTCGGCGGTACTCGGGCAAAAATCCTCAACGTGGCCATTTTTTAAATAGTGAACGTATTTAGCAGTTTTAGTTGCCTATAGAAAGAGCAAATCTTCTAGTTTATGATGACGTATTAACTTTCCAGATTGCATGAGTTTGAACGGAGTTATGGCTTTGGAAAGCGTAAAAACTCGCACTCATCACGAATTTTCCTCGTTAATTTTGCAAAATCCTCAACGTGGCCATTTTTTGAGTACTGGACGTATGAAGCTGCTTTAGCGACCGTTTGATAGAGAAAATCTTCTAGTTTTGTATGACGTATCAACTTTTTGAATTTGACGGAAATGAAGCAAGTTATTGCTCCGGAAAGTGTAAAAACTCGTGCTCGTCTCGAATTTTCCTCGTTATTTGATCTAAATTTGTTATTTCTTATAACTTCCTGTAATTTCAGTACTGATTAGAAAAAGCTCTTCACAAAACTCCCAAATCAGCTTTCAGATTGAAAATTCGTTAACTTTGAAGAAAGTTATAATCATTTGAATATTTGTTCAAATTTCAATAGTAAATAAGCTGCTCCACGGTCAACGCCAAAGTCCAGTCAACACACAGCTGGCGAAGGCTTTTACAAGGCTTCCTTTGAGCGAAAGGGGGACGTGTAAATTGAGAACCATAATCTGTGTAGTACTAGAATTTGGTAAGTCTTGTGGAGGAAATAAACAAAGAAGAGGTGTTGTCATAGTACGCCATTTCTAGTGACTAGTTTGACGTTTTTTGCTCCGTTTCTCGTTTGCTCGTTTGACAGGACTCGTCATTAATGATCATTCTTTGACTTTTTCACTTTTATACTTTTTAAACGAGTTTTTTGTGGACGATGGGGTAGCAGGGCTTTTTTATGCAGTTTTGGTGGAGAATTAAACAACTTTTTCATAGTTCGGCTTTTAAAGAGGGTTGTTTCATGGACTTCGGCCTTCGGCAGAGGGAGGGGGGGGGTCGTATTTCCGAATTTTCCTCGACGCCTCGCTTGACCCTGGTCCTACTTTCAGGGTCTTTATAGAGGGGGGGGGTGCAAAAAAAAAGTCTCCCCGTCGCATTTAGACGTAATTGTTACACTTTGCCAAACCCAAACGATAAGAGCACAATCGGATCTATCAGAAAACCACACATTAGCCTTTTATACCGGCGACAGCAGAAGACTTTCCCACGAAAACAGATGAGCTCAGCGAGGGCTTCGACGGATCATTGAAGAAGTTATGTGACAGCTGCAAGCTGGAGCGATAACGGTTTCGTACTTGAGCTCGACGTTGATGGCAGATGACGTCATATTCTGAAGACGATGAGGGCAGTAGAAGAGTGCCTCTTCTGCTAATGGGGGTACATCTACCTTTTCACTCTCCCCTTTCTGCCTATCTGTGCGTGAGCGCTGTTTCACTCTCTGAAAAATGACTGCTACGTTTAATTGTGCCTCTGACGTTGTCGATGGATCTCAGCGTGATTGCCTATTTTTAAGTCCGCTTTTCGAGCTTTGAACATTATTACAGGCTAGTTCGGCAATGTTTCGTCCTTTATTGCATTTTTCAGCACTTTGGTTGAGTTCTAGATACAACAGAAACTTGTCTGATGGCCACAGTGGATGTGTCAACACATGTAATCTTTGTGTTTTCTTTTCTTCAAAACTCGATATGGGATAATGCGAGAGCTCCTCTGTCCTAGTGTTTCTCACGCCACTAAACTCGTGACCCATCCTTTGGCATCTTTCTCGACGGTTGACATGACTTCAGGCTCAAAGTACTCGCACCTCCTTGGAGCTCTCCTAATTAGCAGTCCAGTGTCATGTGTAAGATTAGGAGGCGTGGAAGGTTATGTAGCATTAAACTGTTCAGCATTGGTTACGTGTGTGTGGCCACTCTTATTTTCCTTCATGTTGGACTCCATACTTTGAAGGTGGGGGGGGGGGGTCGACGGACTACTTGAACTCAGCCCTTTAACCCTTTCGAACCTGAATTTTTCCCCGTGAAGTTTTTCTTCTAGCTATTGTTTATTACTTGTGAGCATATAGGTATCATTATGGCGAAATTTGGAAGCTATTCGATCACAAACAAAGAAACTAAGAAACTTTGAAAATTGGCCTACCTTCTTAGTTTTTAAGAGCAGCGCCGTTTCATTGTTGCACTTGTACACAAATACTTGTAATACTAACAGCAACACACAATGAAATGGCAGGTTTAGCTCATAATTAGGAAGGGGAAGGTTGACTGAAGCAACCTCTAGCAGGATTAGAAAAACCATGCTGTTTCAGCGGCAATGCAAACATTTGAATTTGATGGTGGCAATTGCCACCGCCAGGGCCGAAAGGGTTAAACCAGCTCTGCGTTCTCTCGTGGGTCTCCTCTCCTCTCCAAGGCTTAGTCCTAGGGCATTCACCCGTTCTCTAATCGTCTGTGCTCTAGCCATCGCGGCAGGACCATTGAGGAAAAATCAAGTAGTCCGTAAACCGGAGGGGGGGGGGCTGCTCTGTGTGATTTAATGCGACTGTCGCTGTCACACCTATGCAATGCAAGTTCACTTGGAGAAAGAACGAGCCTAAGTTACTTGGTCTTTTATTTTTGCCGGTCCGCCATTTATTTTCACGTATTCTTGACTGAGTTCACTCATATTTTCTTTCTTCAATAATCTGTTGCATTTAGCAAGCCAAATATACCACGGAATGGCTTTGTTAATAGTTGCATTGTTCCTGAATCTTCTGCATACCACTTCTGCCCACAATGAAGGTCCTTGTCATCCATATGCATGCGAGTTCGGTGAATGTATCCCAGAAGTATGTTTATCTTTCATGTTCATTCCAACAGACTATTTCAGAATTTCGGATTTCCAAGATTGTGGCACTTCTTGTCTATTAATATTGTCAGCCACGCTCATGTTGATCACTTGTGATATACCACTCCTTTCCTCGCGCACGGCGCAGTTATGCCACCTATTGTGAATTTTTGATATCAGGGAAGATGTTATAACGAAGCAGCGTAACTAAATAGATTCAATAGTTTTGTTATTTTCGGATCTAACTTTCCGACACGATGCAAGAAGAAGCTAGAAAGCTCAAAATGGCTAAACTCTGGAGCATACTTAGGCCGATGTCAGACTTTGCGAATCGCGCGATTCGCTAGCGTCTGCGGTCGCGTCGCGGCCAGTGAATCACTCAATTGGCTGGTACCGCAACGCGACCGCGGACGCTAGCGAATCGCGCGATTCGCAAAGTCTGACATCGGCCTTAGAAAGTTTTACCGTCACAAGAGCCAATTTTCCGGTGGGACAGATGAAGAGGAAACGGTAGGAAAACGAGTTAGAATCTAGAGGCGGTCGATCAGTAGAGACTTCAGCGTGCAAGCGCGGTACTATTGTTGAACGAGTGGGCAGGTGTTGTTGGCTGGATTCGTATTCTTATGGTTTTCTAGGACTTTTCACTGACCCTTGACCTTCCTCCTTTAGTTTGTCTCACACGACAAATTGGAGCGTGATTGTTGTTTTTTAGGGTTCGTCATTCCGATGCAAGTGTCGAGACGATCACGTTGGTCCCACATGTAATATATGGCGTTCACCGCTGATAAATTGTGACGTAGATGGTCCGTTCACATGTTTCAATGGTGGTGTCTGCAATACCACCGAGAATAAATTCAGATGTGAATGTCCACCTAATTTCACAGGTTTGCGGTTTTTCTTTCTGACAGCGATTCCCGTAATAGTCTATGAATCTGAAGGTTTATTCTGCGAAACGGATGTCGACGAGTGCTCATCGTCTCCATGTCGGAATGGCGGTACATGTGTAAACCAGATTGGAACGTTTTATTGTATATGTCCTCGTGGCTACAAGGGTACAACTTGTGGAGAACGTGCTGAAGTCTGCTCCTCATTGTGAGTCCGAATTGTAAATTTGTAGAAAGCGAAGTAAATCTGTAAAGTCATGGTACATTTTAATGTTGAAAGAGAATTTCTGGCACGTTATAGAAATTCCCGATAGAATATCAAACAGCAGTAGTTTAGGACTTGTTTGAATGGTGGCTCCTGTATAGACAGCGTCGACGGATATGTATGCCAATGTGCTGTAGGTTTCAGTGGACAGCGCTGTCAGGAAGTGGAGTCCAGATTTGTTTCGAGGAACAACGCTACCAGAATGTACGTATTTGACGAGGTTATGATCATTTAGTGGTCGTTAATTAACAAATAGTGAGAGCTCCTTGTTAATGAACACCGCTGAGATTGCTTTCTTGGGTTGCATTCTTTTCTTATGTACTAAGTATTTAGCGATGGCTCTCATGCGTGCGCCGGCTGTGCTTCCAAAGCGGGTAATGGTCAATGTGACAAGGAATGTGATCGACTGGAGTGCGGATATGACGCTGGTGACTGCAATAATAGGGATAGAAATCCATTTAAAGCCTGCATATATGCTGGATATTGTGCACGAGTGTTTCGAAACGGTTTGTGCGATGAGGTGAGCATTACAGATTTGAGAGAACAGCGTTCAACAGTGGCAGTTGCTACGCGGTGCAGGCTTCTGGTGGTGCAACCGATTCCGAAAATTACGGTCGAAATTCCCGCTGGGGAATTGATTTTTGATGGTTCTGCCTAATAAACACGGCGAAGATTTCTTAACTTACATGTCACTTTCTGAAAACCGCTTACCTCTTCGTTCTTTGCATCACCTTTTCTTTGTGAACTGAGAGTTGGGTCATTCTTTCTTTGTATGGGCGCAGAGACATCCAAAAATTCCAAAATATATAACTTCAGATTTGTAACATTGAAAAGTGCCTATTCGATGGGTTTGACTGCCTTCCGAAGACGCCTAAATGTCAGAGCAGCTGTGAAGCCAAAAAGCATAATGATATTTGTGATGAGGAATGCAATCGAGAAGAATGTGAATTTGATGGCGGAGACTGTGAAGTGACCACAAAAATCGTAAGTGCAGCTTATCCGGTTTCGAATTTTTCCCATGTTGTTTTTCTTATAAGGTTGTCCGCATTCATTACAAAATGTTTACAGCTGTCTGGTGAACTATCCATAGTGGTCTTGGCGAAACCTCAGGCGTTCATTGCCAATGTTCTGTTCTTCCTACGTTCTTTGAGTACATCGCTACGATCCGATGTGCGCATCAAACACGATGAGTATGGTCCAATGGTTTTTGCGTGGAAGGAGGGGGAGACCGGTGAACGGCTGATTTTTGGAAAGCAGGTAAAAATAGTGCAGATTTCCGATTTTTCGTCACGTCTATCCATATTCGGGCAAAGTATTGCACCGCTACACAATTCAATGGGTTTCGAACCATGGCGTATAGTCTTTTGACATTCGTAAGGGTGCAAGCGTGCAGTGACGAAACACATTTTTCTGAAAGGTGTTCACCGCTTTTGCTCCCACTGATTTCCATTTTTTGTTCCTATACTCAAATTTGGCGCCATTGGTTTGTTCTCGTGGTTTTTATTAACTATAACAAACCAATTTCTCTCTGTTGAGGATGTTCCGGCGATTCTTAAAGATCCTACAATATTCGTCGGAAAACGAGGGAGTTTTGGTATGGATTGAAGTGGATGTGTCCAAATGCGTTAATGAGTGTTTTGACGATGTTGAAATCGTGGCCAGTTTTATCGAAGCTGACAGGGATGTAAGTTTTCCTTCGAGTTGTTTTTTTGATTGTTTGTTGCTGTTTTCATAACTTTATGTTGAATCATTTTAGAAACTCAAAGAGGCCATGAACATGTCAATTCATTCGGCAGTTGCGAAAAGGCCAAAAAGTCGTCACAGTTCTTTTGAAGCCACTCTGTTATTCGTAGTTTCCTGCGTATCTGTTATGATATTGATCGCAATCCTTTTCGTTGTGCAACAGAGAGGCAGCAGAAAGCGAAAAGTTGTGGAAAATGCTCCAGTTTGGATACCCCCAACGGAGTTCGAAAGTACGTGTTGTTTAGGGGTCTCACGTACATTGTCGTTCAAAAATCATGTATAATAAATTTAAGATCAAAAGGCTGAAAAATATGCAAAAGAAAAGAATCGCCATCGTATCATCACTTTTGAAAGTGCAAAACGAAGACGTTTGGATCCAGCGGAACTAAAGTTGCTAGAGGAGAAACTGACGCCTAACTTGCCAAGGTAGGGTTTATATGTAGCTTTTGCTATCGTTATCCATGCCTGATCAACCAATCTACGTAGATATTCCAGAGTGCACGTGCAGGCGAAGCCGAAACGGCTAGAACCTCAGCCTTCTCAGCTTCATGTTGAAGCTGCATCAGCCGGGCCTATCTCTTCTATATCGTCTTCTGAAGAGATCAACCAGAAAGGTCCATATGGTCGTACTCCTCTCATGGTGTTGGTGAGGAACACCATGAAAACGGAAGAGCAGATAGTCGAAGAATTGACCAAGTTACACACAGCCGGAGCCGATCTGAATTTGTGCGATGATTGTGAGTTTGACTCCAAAACTTACTCTAGACTCAAGAGCGTGTAGCGAATCTGGTGTGAGGGTTGTGATTTTATTAAAAATCACCGAGCAGGTGTTTCGACTTTTCATCAATCCTTTACACGTCATCTGACTTTTTTCAATCCTTGATAAAAGTTGTCATAGTGAAGATTGGACTTTTTTCCTTCCATGCCTGCAAAGCTGGCCCCCTCTGCTTTCAGTGGCTCTGAATGATAGATTCTACCTCACCAAGTTACATGACCAAGAGGCTATTTGGTCAAAGTTGCAAACTGCAACTTTCCTTTGCGATTGTAGAACCGTCTCTACATTTGGGATGCACCAGGGTCTAAAAACTCATTCATTGAATAACAAAAGTAATGTGCTGCTTCTGCTGAGTGTCGAAACTCTTCCATTAGCTCGCTTAGCGAACTCTCATAAAATGTTCAGCTAAACGACAATATGAATGTTCCGCACCGCTACCAGAGTTTGAACTTCCCACTCAACAAAGATCAACTGACTCAAATCTCAGAAGGTTCCTCAAATGCTCTCCGATTGAATGCCATGAAGAAATCTTCTAAATCGGAAATCATGTTTAGAGTCGTAGTAAGCATCGAAATTTTGCGAGGTTTTTTGAAAACTTGACCTCTGAGTCAGTTCAACTTATGACCGAAAGTTTCGAAGTCTCTTATTTTCGTTGATTATTGATTACCCAATTACTAGGGACCTCCGGATTGATAATACTTCTGAAGGTTTGAAGCTCCACCAAAGCTCCGTTTAATCACCTTCTTTTCAGCTGACGACACCGCCCTACACATGGCTGTCTCTTCCGGTCGCGTGGCCGTTGTGCGCAAACTTTTACAACTTGGAGCATCGCCGGTGATCCGAGACCGTACGAATTCTACCTGTCTACATCTTGCTGCTCGTGCTTGCGCTCCAAGTATGGTTGCACTTCTTCTGGAAAACGAAGAAATGCGTGAAGAAGTGCGTTACATGCTTACAAGACAATGAATTACAGCAGCTTCTATATTAAGAGATTGTTCTCTAGGTTGATGCTCTAGACGATGAAAACAGGACGGCGCTTATGCTTGTAGCGATGTATGATATGGTGGACACTAAGATTGCTCAAATGCTATGCGACGCCGGAGCGAAAGTGAATTATGATGGAGACAACGTAAGTAGCTCGTATATGGGTGGAAAAGGGTATGGGTAGTTCATACTCATGGTGAGGCTGTAGAGCTATTTGTGGGATGCGAAAGCTATTCCGTCTTTTCAAGAGTGGGCCACGAGAATCGTGAAATGCACTGTATCGTTCTTAGCCACAACATGACCTTAGTTTCACATGTGACTAAACATGAAAAGAGTGGTGATCCTCTGCTTATGAATGATTTTTGAATGGTCATATCAAATTCTCTCATTCTCTGAGACCACTACGATCTTGTTGAACTTTCGCCTGCTTGCCAAATATGCGATTTTATCGAATGAATGGTAAACCCACTTTGCTAACACCTGATAATCATGACCGCGCTCTTTGTAGTTGTTCTGTCATTGACATCTCCCTGATATCCTGTGATCATATGACGCTCCCAGGTGGTGCAGGCATCGAAGGCACTGCATCTTCAACCATCGGTTGATTGAATCTTCTTTTTCCGGCTTTCGTTTTTCCCAAATACGGCGATTTGGTGTAAAAGTTGTGAAGAGAATGACCAGTTTATATATGGCCGTTCGCAGTACAAGTACATATTAAATCATGAAAAAACGAGGTACGGCCTAAATGTGTGTCTCCAATTCACGTTTTGACTGACCCACCAAGTGTTCTAGCTCCACACGAAGACAGAACTAGCGATAAAAATTGCTGTACATGAAAGAGAAAAAGGGTAGCGGAGAGGGTAGAGGAGTGCCAAGTAGACGTTATGTAATGCTTTCGCGGCAGAAAGGCAATTAAGATTGCTTCATTGTGTAGGTAAGTAATCAAATGATAGACATACCATACCCCGGACGTGTTCTGTGGTTCAGGAGTACGGGTGTGGGTACTTAGGACAGAACGCGACTTTTTCGCTCTTCGCAACGCGACATCGCGCGGCAGGCTGGCGCACCCGCAGCGAAAACAACTACGGTATAGGAAGAACGCGCGATTGGAGCGCGATATTTGTGTCGGCTTTGATTGCGACAAGGAGTTTGAAGCTTAATAGCCATGGATTTGATAATGAACGAGGAAATGGTAACCAGAAGTGGACCGCTAACTAGCAGTGAAGAGGGAGGTAGGTTATTTTTGCAGAGATGGATGGTAGAGCTTCTGGAGAACCTGGAAGAGGAATGGTTGATGGACGTTTGATGAGACGACTGTAAACTTCTGCATAGGGGTTATTTGGGGCCCTGATCATGAATATGACACTCATTTTTCACATTCGTGCTGTTTAACGCATGCTTTCGGTTATAAGGGTTCTCA